TGCAATTCATCGAACGCCAATATTTTAAAAAGAATTTTGAATTATTTTTCTTGTATAAATATGCCGATTTTTGTAAATACGGACGTCCATACACGACATTATCAGAAAATAAGAGCGGTAATTATAGTGAATTTAAAGCCAAAGTATCTAAAAATCAATAAAACATTAGATTACTTAGAATATTTTGTTAAATATATAAGATTACTGGGTAGTTTAAAAATTATATAAAAAAGGCGCTTAATTTATGTTCTTCAAGTAATTTTTTCAGATATATCCACTGCAGAAAACATTACATAATCTTGCGTCTCTTACTGAAGCTGTCAACCTGTCAACAACTAAAATAAATAGCTATCGTCGTATCAAAAAATGCATTTCTGCAACATTTTAAACTAAAGTAAATAATATTTATTTCATATCAGATTAATTAAACTTTAAATCAGTAAATAAAATTTCAAAAAGTATATTTTATTTTCGAATGATGAAAGATATCTAAAAATGGTGCTAAAATTAGCAATGCTTAGAAATTCCAAAGAAAAATTCATTCCATTCAATTTAAATTACTTTTGAAATACAACAAAGTATTTTGCTGATTGGAAATATTAAATTTAATCTATTATCTTGAAACTAAAGCTAAAATAAAAAGTTCACAAAATATTTTTCATTTTTTAAATTCGTTGTAAAACTTTGGTGTCGTGAAATTGTGGAGTTATCTAGTCTAACGTTTACATTATTACACAACCGTATGAAAAAAAATGCGTGTATCTCATATATATATATATGTATGTGTGTGTGTGTGTGTGTGTGTGTGTGTGTGTGTGTGTGTGTGTGTGTGTGTTGTTTTAACGTTATTAATATTAACAGAAAGCGGAAATTATTGAAATTATAACTTCACGGAAATGCATGCAATTATCCTCAATCAATTAAAATTTGTTAAAATAAAAAGTCATATTATACAACTATAGGGAGGTATGTTGGGTAGTTTTCTCGCAGATGCAGTCATCCAGGAAATATGCATATATATATATATATATATATATATATATATATATATATATATATAGAATTAATGTTGGTTGGGTAATGATGGGAAGAGCCATGTGTCTGCGTTTTCATTCTGTCCATCTGTGGCTTACTAGATGTAGCTTGTTGATAGATTTTCCACAAAGGTCAAGGTTACCGTCACCTCTGGGAGTACCAGAGAAGGATGTGGTTACAAGTAGAAATCTTAGAAACAGGAAATTCCTATACATAGTGTAAAGCCTTCGTTTTAATGTGTTTTGGTCTTCCAAAGGGTTCACTGCAAGGAAAAAGAAAAAGAAGAAAAAAAGTATGATGCAACGTCACGTTCGAAGACATCTTTTTTTTTTTTACAATCTATGGAAGGCGGTAAAGATATTATATAATTCACCCTCACTACATGCAACGCTACAGTAACGGTGGTAACTTTTCCTCATTCAGCTCATACGGTAAGATAGAAGTTTCAATCAGATATTTTCTCCCCAGGATCTGATAGCTTTTGGAACAGACTCACAAGAAGATGCTTACTCGACCACTAAAATTTTAATCTCTTCCAGTCTAGGGCCAACCGTTATTCATCCGAAATATCTTCATAATATACACCTTTTCCACCATCACCTCTTTCAGTACCCGTCTACATTGAGTAGTTTTGGGGACTTCTGCTGGCCTAACTATAGTATAAAAATACAGATCGCCCAATGAAGATCGAACTCACTACAGAACAACTTACGAGACAAATTCGCAAACGAACTCAACTGTAAGCGCCCGACCAGGTTTTACAAGCATCCTCGCCAGCTTGGTGTCATGATGTCCGTACCTGATATGCAACAATTCTATTAAACCTTAATTTTAAACTTTTTTTTTCCATTGTGAAATCTATAAAGATGACACATTCATTAGATTTGTTTTCGCCGGTGCGAGCAGTCTACGTTCAGGATTTTAATGTAGTTTCTCGCCACTTGACATATTGACGCAACACAGTCTTCTCATATCCATTTTTACGCAATTTGTCTTTGTGAAAACTGAATAACTGCAGATGAGTATCTATCCAGACATTGTGTTATACCCCGGGAGTATCGAACGCATTACGGTAACAATAAGGCTACTGATTCCACTAAAAGTCTCCAAGAAAATCCTGTGTCTGACTTTAACCGAGACAGGAACACTCCATCTTGCTTGAATCTTGACAAGAGAAACAAAAAGACGAATATATTTCGTCTTTTAATGAAAATGAAAGACCGTCCTGGGTATAACGATAAACTACTTCTCGTAACTGGGTAACGATAAACTATGCCCGGCAGCAAAGCTTCTCACCAGGGGGTTTTGAGAAGCCTGGAACTACCTCATAATTGCTAGCGTTCCCAGGTCCCCCTGACCCGTAATAGTAGCACCTGTTAGGGCCCCAGATATGAGCAAATCGTTAACCCCCGAACCCGTCCGCATCCTGGGGAACACGATAAATTACATCCGGCATCCTGGGTAAGAAGATAAACTACATCCGGCATCCTGGGTAAGACGATAAACTACATCCGCGTCCAGGGTAAGACGATAAACTACATCCAACAGCAAAGCCTCTGATCAGGAGGTTTTGGGGAGCGTGGGGTCACCTCTTAATTGCTGGTGTTCCCAGATCCATCCTTACCCGGGGCTGCTAGCACCTGTTAGGGTCCCACCTATGTGCAAATAATTAAACCCCAGAAAAGGGGTCAAAATACTACGAAAGTGTAAAAGTAGGTTTCAATACCAGCAATAAATTTTTGAAGAAAAAATTATTATATATTACATTTCCACCAATACATTTTTACATTAGGAGAAAGACATTTTTTGAAAAAAAATATTACCACCAATAAAAACCCTGCCAGCATTAAATAACCCATTGAGATTGATATGTCGTGAGAAGAAAAAAAAAAAAAAAAAAAAAAAAAAAAAAAAAAAAAAAAACGAAAATGAAAGGCATACAAGCAGCTACTGTCAACAAGACTTCATCTAATAATTAACATTCAAAATAATAGTATTACTAATACTATGTTCCTCGAAAACATTGCTGATCATAGCTCTCCACAATTTCTTGTCCTTTGTAGCTCTTAATAAATGTTGTCTTTTTGTTATCTCACCTAAATCCTTTTTCCGCTATCCATTTTCTCAAGCTCGCAAGATAGGTTATGTCCATGAGCATCAAATTTTCTAAGCCTTCTTTCCTCTAGAAATTTCAACTGTCACTTCCTGATGTTAAGTATAGATGTCCCTTTTGATCCATTTTATCTAAAACTTTATCGTTGCTCACATGTTAGGTCCATGGTATTCGTAGTAACATTCTGTAGAAACAGATTTCTGTTGATTCATGTCTCTTCTTCTTCTGTGAGGAGATTGTCCAGCATTCACTGACATATATACTGGTATATACATATATTACATAACAGTTCAGTACTCTTTTCTTTGTTTGTAACGAAATTTTCCTGTTTCTTAATACTTTACTTCATTTTCGGAAGGCAACTTTCGCTGTCCCAAAATGCGCCTCTGTTAAACACTCCCCAGATATCGAAATTGTTGTACTTGTTTGATTTTGGTATCTTCAATTTAGGCATTTTGGGCTGGACTCTTCTTTTTTTCTAACAGCCATGCATTCTGTTTTTTTTTTTTTTTTTTTTTGCAATTGGTGATTAGTCCTTTTATCTTGCTATCTTCACCAAGTCATGTGGTTCTTATAGTTTCCTTTCTGCATCTACAACCATCACTGTATAGTGTATGTAAATCACGATCACGTATTCCGTAACCCCTTTGGGTCATAGGAGCACCATATCTATTGCAGCCGTAGTAGAAGTGGTGCGTCTTGGGCAAGATAACCTGACGGCAACAGGCTAGTTTTAAATTCAACGTTTTCCTTCTAGTCACCAACCAAAGCTGGGGGAGAGAAATGGATACTTGCCTTTCACAAAGTTATTAGCCGGTAATTGAATGTCATGAAATCGACTTGAAATTCATAAGGCATACTCTTACTTAGGATCGTACTGCAGCCTCATTAGAAGAGGTTTTTCCTGGTTTGTTTGAAATCAGAGTTTTGCTTCTCCTTGATTAGTTGCCAACCAAAGCACCCAAACTGTCCTACTGTGTACATTTCATACCTTTTCCAAGGGTATTAGCCCATAAGTGACTAGAATTCGAACCCGGGTCTCCAATTCCTCATTCCGAGTCGCTATCCATTACTCCACCTTGCCTGATACTGTATGTAAATATAAACGTTAAATACATCGGCACCATGTATTGAACGGTATGGATGATCGTTCCGCGTTTTCCCCGATCTGATTTCAATTTCCACGTGCGTTTATTAAGTTTACTTAGAATGAAAACATTTGAAATTAATGTTGAAAGAAATACTCGCAAAGACTAGTAAGGTTAGAAACACACTCCTTTTGAATGATGCATCTATTTGTAAAAGAGATTTATTTTTATCCCAAATTAATTTTAAAGATTAGTTTCTATTGGCCATGAGTTTCACAGATTACTTTTTACCCGAACATAAGTTTCAGAGATTAGTTTTTATCTACCATTAGTTTGAAAGATTAATATTTACCCCCATTAGTTTGAGAGATTAATATTTAGCCCCATTAGTTTGAGAGATTAGTCCCCCCCAACCTATTAGTTTGAACAATTTTGAAATTTTGCATTAAAAATGTAAAAACATAACAAATATTATATTGGATTTTTTTTTTGATTGCTTGTTTCGTTTCTTACGTCTTATCAATCCATTGCTTATTATTAAAGGCAGAAAATATTTTTTAGATTGTAAGAAGTGTGTTTGTTTTTCTTTTTGGCGATAATAATGATTTAGTGATAGAAGTCTTACTAATTAACCCATAGCTAGGGAGATGGGGTGGATTCATAGCTGTCCCAAGTGAATATAACGAACCCAAATGAAATTAGAACTCGTCTCTCTGATTAACAATTTCAAGCTGTTATCTATTACACCACCCGCACATCCAACCATACACCACCTGTATTACCCAAGCGGTCGCCCATCCAGGTACTGACCAGATCGACGTTGTTTAACTTCGGTGATCGTACGGGATCCAGTGATTCAATGTAATATGAACGTAAGCGTTTTTATTTTTATTTTTTTCTGAGAAATAATTTTGTATTACTTGCGTCAGGATGAAAGGTCCCGAGGCAAGAAATCTGTTATTTGCATTCGTCAAACTCGAAATGAAAAATGAAAGACGACTTGTCAAATATCATGTTCACTTTTTAGGCAGAGCAAAGAGTCAGCGTTTCTTGTAACGATATATCTAAAGACATATTTTCATATAGCTTTTATCCCCAGCCCTTAACATAGACATGAGTCGTCTACAGTACTGATGAAACTTGACTAATGCATGGAATAATAATGCAACACAAAATGTACTTAGAACAAAGTGTATTGAAACAAGAAAGTGTACACAATATTTACATATAGCCTTTTGTATATTCCTGGTAAGACCGTTCCTGAGTCGCAGTCGGGCAGAGTCTCTGGTTGAATCTCTTGATTCCTCCCTCTCTTCCCGGTACCAACCATATTTATATGGTCGGTACTCCACTATGCAAATTAGGTGGATCCTACCACAACAAGTACATTGAGATATAACAAGACAGCATTAAATAAAGAAGGTTACATGAAATTTAAAAAGTGACAGACTGCCCTTTCAGCCCTGACCACCGCTTTACCGGTGGTAGAGAAAAATGACGTAATGTCCAGTCACGGTTGAACGGTGGGTAAATACTTCTAACTATTTTTATATCTACCGTGAAACATAACATACCAATTATTTGCGAATTTTGACTCAGGAGTTCAGGCAAAAGGGTTAAAATTGTTCTGGAAATCAGGGCTCAAAAGGTTAAAATTGACAAAATGACATTCGAACAAAGAGAATGCTAAACGAATTGCTAACTCTGCATTTAAATCTCTGAAGATCGTAATTGACATTAAAATAAGATATAAAAGAGTTCCACAGGTGAGAAGTGCGATAGAAGAAACTATTATACTAGAAGCAATTTCAACAATAAAATGCTAAGACCCAACTGCCAATCTAGTATTACGCTTAAATCTATGAAGTCGAGACACCAAAAAAGAGACCAGAAGGCGACTTATCGTGGTAAAAGGATTAGCAATCTGGGCTTTTAGATTGATAATAATAACATTTCATCTTTCTGTTGCTAGTTTTCTGTTATCACAGTGTGGGATAATTAATAATAAAAATGAGAGAAACAAAGACAAAAGCATAGAAAATGAGATCGGCTAGACTGAACGAAATAAATTAAAAATTTAAATATCTGCCTTCCCACATCTTGATTACTTCCTCTGAATACATAGCTGTAAGTAGCACCCTATCTACGCATGCAAGGTGCTATGGGTAAATTTTATATTTTTAATTTCACGCATGCGCATTTTTTGTTTTTGATTTTGTTGACTGCACAGCATAGTAAGGTCATTTGGGCACCGTCTGTGAGAAAAAGAGCACCATGACGCAATTCACTCTTCCAGAAATTTAGAGACTGTATGCTACCGCTTGGTATTCATGCCAGAAGCTCTAATGTGAACATTTCAGAGTGTATGGGTGTCAATCTGAAGACAGTCCCGAGGATTCAGAAAGCGTTGGATGAGTCTAATGGTGATTACGAAGGTACAGCAGCTCGGAAAACCCCCGAATTTGTTGGTGAGGTCCTCAGACTCAACATGGAGGCCTGCACCAATGCCTTGAGCAATTAGTGCTGCCCTGGGTCAAGAGTGTGGCTACTGGAAGACCATGTGTCTGGCAACAGACCAAAGATCAACTGAAGGCAATGATTATAGCAGTATTCACCAACTTAAACAAGGAGACCGCCAAGAGTTGCAAGAGATTCTGAAGTCGTCTGGAAGCCGCGGTTGAAGCCAATGGCGATTTTATTGAATAAATTTATCCTTTTGTATTTCAAAATATTTTTGTGTAACTTTGTTAAATATATCTGTTAAAATTAGATATCAGTGTTATTCCCATTTTTGCGTCATTTAGACGACAATTTATCCATCGCACCCTATGTATAATTCCATCAACAAAAACATTATTTTGGTCCGATGAAGTCGTCTTCCAAGAAAATGAAAAACACAGAACCACGGTAGCAGGAAACCCATTGATGGTTGATTTCACTACCATAGCCATTGTTTTTCAAAAGGCACCCTAAAAATTTACTGAGCTTTACTTTGACCCTATGCCTCAGTATAAAAAAAAATTCATTTGCTTGCTCACCAATTTTCTGAGGCGGCTGACTCATCCCAACTTATCTGCGGAATGGATGCTCAAGCGAACTCATTATGCTAATAAAAGTTTGCTAAACTAATCTAATAAATATAACTGCATGCCTTGCCGTTACAAATACATATCTATGTCTTGATGACTGGGAGTGAAACATGGGCTTGGCGTTATAAATATACATATACGAGTGTATCAGAAAAGAAAAAAATCTGTCAAATCCAAACTACAAGTTTTCCCCATTGAAATTATCTACGTCGAGTCTAAAGCACTTTCCCATCCTTCTCCGCCACGCCTCCATGCAACCCTGGAAGGATTCTCTCAGAATTCTCAGTAGTTCTGTCGTCATGGCTTTCTTGATGGCACCCTCGTTCATAAAACAGATTCCTTTACTGGAGATGGAAGCCATCAAGAGGGCCGTGACGACAGATCTGCATGCTGTATTTTAGGATCTTTTATATTCAATGTCAGATTCTATTTTTGGTTATCATCATTTAATAATTTGATAATTATTTTTGCTTAATGAGAATGAGGTGTAAACATTGTATGTCATCAGGTGATGGCGAATTCATTCGCTAGGTCTGTAAATGAAATAATCTATTAATATTTTGGAGCTTATCATTCGAACTCAGGCTAATTTCGTCAAAATAAAAGTTTAGGTACCTGGTCCTTAACTGAGTTGATCACCAACCGAGCAACAGCAAATAGACACATATCTCAATATGCAATAGCTTCCCGTTTAAAATTTTTTAAGTAATTTTGAAATAAAAAAAATGATCTTTCATGGCGAGATTTTTGCTTAAGGCGTTGTTTGATGATTGCCTCAATTTTAGGCGAATTTGCTTCTATTTGTTTGTTTGCAACTGATTTCATGCGAAGAAGAGGCCATCGGTTAGACAAGTCGTTTAATGGGGAGATAACCACATTTTAACTAATTTTTTGCTTACACCGCAGACGCCCCCAAAGTCTGTGAAACACCCTTGACTGTGTGTTTTTTTTTTCGGATATTTGCAGACTTATTGCAAAATAGAAAAAAAAGTTACATATAAAAATAACAAATTTACTTCCATCATTTGCTTTTTAGAACTTGAATATTTTGATAAAGAAATACTGTATGAAACGAAGCCGACATGAAGATGTCTTTCTCTTTGTTGTCAATTAAGTCAGTTTGCTTTAATGATGCGTAGCATCCAGCTTCTTCTTTTCGTTGGGGTAAGACGAGATCAAAACGGCGTGACAAGTGAAATCTCTCTCTCTCTCTCTCTCTCTCTCTCTCTCTCTCAATCTCTTTCTCTTTCTCTCTCTCTCTCTCTCTCTCTCTCTCTCTCTGTGTGTGTGTGTGTGTGTGTATCTATCTATCTATCTATCTATCCATTTCCCTTTCTCAGCCTTTCCGTCCTGGGTATGACGATAAACTACATCCGTGTCCTGGGTAAGACGATAAATGACGTCCAACGGCAAGGGCTCTGATCAGGAGGTGTTGAGGAGTTAGAACCACCTCTTAATTGCTGGTGTTCCCAGGTCCACCCTGACCCGGCGTGGTAGCACCTGTTAGGGTCCCAGCTATGGGCAAATAGTTAACCCCGAAACTGAGGCAAAAAGCATTATGAAAGTGTAAAAATAGGTTTTAATACCAGAAATATTTTGTAAAAAATTATTACCAGAAATACGTTTTTGAAAAAAAATATTACCAGCAATACATTTTTTAAAATATTACCAGCAATACATTTTTGAGAAAACAATATTACCAGAAATAGATTTTTGACAAAAGAAAAATATTACCAGGAAAAAAAGTTGTCGGCATTAAATGACCCATTGAGGTTGATATGCCATAAAACAAAACAAACTCTCAGCCTGCCCCTCTCTCTCTGTCTCTCTGTCTCTGTCTCTGTCTCTCTGTCTCTGTCTCTCTCTCTCTCTGGTTATGCTGTTAATTATCTTTTTATCAAGTTGGCCTCCATATAAAAATAGCGTAGATAGATGCATTTACCTAATTTTCTTTTCAAAGCTTTTTATTGTTAAAATATTAATGTTGAATGGATTTCGAATACCTTGTATCGACGCAGAAATGGATGTCTCTCACCTTTCTTTTGGAGGGTGGGGTTAATCTTGAATTCTACTGCTTTTCTGCTATCACCTTGCAGCGTGTCCGATAAACGGAACACGAGCCACACTTTTCAAACTTAATTAAAATAAACAAAAAAATCTCTATAATGATTATTACTTCACTCTTTCTAAACCAATGAGAATCAAAAACACGTGACCTCCTCACCATAGGACAAGAAGTTCGCACGAAATTCGTTAACTTTAACACGTTGTTTTATTGTTAATCTTTCTATGGTTGAAATTGCCAGTCTTAAGTTGTTGAATCTGAAAGAAAACGAAAAAAATCATTAGACGTCTAAACTTATATATATATATATATATATATGTGTGTGTGTGTGTGTGTGTGTGTGTGTGTGTGTGTGTGTGTGTGTGTGTGTGTGTTAGCTTTTTTTTAATTATTTACCCAGAATTATAATTCCACTATAATTCTTTCGATAAATAAAATATTAACTCATGGTTTGAGCAATCCACGTTCCTAACTATAAATTCAGTTTTTCACATTCACTATCATTTGTCTGTGCTTGTCATTGTTATTAAAGTTTTTGACCCTTTAACCCGAGCGTGTGTATTCAATCTTGAAAAAGAAAAAAGTTTTCGTTTGTTTGCCTTGATTTTGTACAGCGACCTGCTCGTCACCACTTTTCTTGTACATCAAGCAGCAAACAATATTCAATTCCTAAACCCCCTCCCTCCCTCCCTCTCCCTCTCTCTCTCTTTCTCTCTCTCTCTCTCATTTGTTCGCAGGGTAATGAAAACATGCACAAGGACAAATCAAATACCTTGTTTACAACAGTGGTCCTGGCACATTAGTAGGCTGGTTTTGTCTACCATTACTATTGCAGAGCGTTTGATTTTTATTGGCTGCCCCACATATTGAGCCTTGTTCCAGGCTATAAATAAATACCGTTTATTATTTGTAATATTAAAGAACTGTTAAATTATTAATAATGATTTAATATTTTTCTTTGACCGTTTTCTCTCATGGCGTTGGTCTGATGTAGGTTTTTTTTTCAAATTCTTCTTAAAATAAATGGATTATTTCAGGTTCTGATAACCATACAGCTGACTTTAAGATATTGTTATATATTAAGATTAACATATTCCGTTATAAGGTATGTGGATTTGATTAATTTGTTTATTAAGACAAATCAACCTTTTACAGGTTATTTAAGGCCAGGAAATGTAATTTTTGCATTGTCTAAATTTTTGTAGCGATAATAATGATTTACTGATTTACAAGACGTAATAATTAACCCATGGCTGAAGTGGAAAGAAACGGACTCCAAGGTCATTTGCGCATAAGTAAATATAACGAATAAGACCGGATCTCCGAGTTCCTATTCCGAGCCGTTATTCATTACATCACCCGCACATCCAAACTGATAGCATCTGTTATTCCCAAGCGGTCATCTATCTAGGTACTAACCAGTCTCGACGTTGCTTAACTTCGGTGATCATACCTGTATTTCAACGTGATATGTCCGTAATCTCAAAAGCATGTAGAAGCTAATCCGTCAAAATGAGGGCCTTCTTTTTTTCTATATGCCGTGTCCTTTCAGGACGTAAGAGATTATATCTCTCCACATCCCTCTATATCCCTTGCAACTCTCAACAAGCTCCTTCCCTCTGCCGCCTCCCCAAATCACGTTCTGTCACCCACTTGCTTAAGTCCGCCAGGTATTTCACGCGTTGTTTTCCCTTGTCTCACTTCCTCTCTATTCGACCCGTGAGTATCAGATTCTCCAGGCTCTCTTTCCTTATTATGTGTCACAGAAACTTTAGCTGCCTCTTTCTGATATTAAGCATAATCCTTCTCCTTGTTTGCACCACTCCAAGACCTCATCGCTGCTCACACGCTCGGTCCATGATATCCTTAGCATCCTTCTGTAGAAACACATCTCCGTCGCCTTGAGTCTCTTCTTCATCTTTGAGGAAATCGTCCAACATTCGCTGCCGTAAAGAAGAACAGATGTCACGTAACAGTTTAGTATTCTGTTCTTCGTTGCCAAAGAAATTCTCCTGTCTTGCAATTCTCTGCCTAACTTTTGGAATGCGTCCTTGGCCATCCCAATACGTCTACGGATCTCAGTGTCGCACTTACCGTCCTCTGTTAAAACGCTTCTTAGATATTTAAACTTCCGAGTCTGCTTCATTCCAGTGTTTCCAACCTGCATATCCCGTTTTGAGCTCATCCTTTTACTGATTACCATGCATTCTTTTTTTTTCCTTAGTCTCTTCTTCACACTCTCCGTCGCTTACTTCTGTAGAAGATTTTGTAATTTCTTTTCCGTGTATGCCATCAGTACTGTTGCATCTGCGTATCTTATCTTGTTAACATTGTAGCCGCTAGGGTTTCCAATTCTCTCAGAATGTCCACGCTGTATAGATTGAACAGGTCGAGTGAGAAGACGTACCCTTGCTTATTCGAATTCCTATCTTGTAGCAGGCATTAGTACCAGGAAGAAGCAAATATCTATCTACAAAAGAAATGACTAATCATCGTCAAATGATAGAAAGCAAATGATAGACTTTTGTTAGGATTTATCCGAATTACTCTTTTGGATGTTTTTGTCCTGTTTGTGTTTATTGGCCTCATAAAAAGTGGGGATTAGGGGTGGTAAATTCATCCATTAGTCTGAGGGTGTGTTAGTTTCAAACCAATAGGAATGTGTATTTATTGTCATCAATATAACAATTTTGGCACAAGGCCGAAAGGGAAGCGGAGTAGGGCTGATCAACATTAACTTAGACCAATCTAATTTAGATTCACACTCATTCATTGATTGTTCATTTATCACAAGAACTCATCCATTACCATTCAATCCTACATACACCACAATAGCACATATTCACATGGAACCTACTAAATCCTCAAGACATAAAAATATCAACAGTTCAAATGTCTTTTTTCCCCTTTTCTTTTTTCTTATAAAAAATTTATAAAAATTAAATGAATCATGAAATGAGGCGAAGATGAGGATGAACCCCAAAACAAAAATAAAATATAACAAAACGTTCAAACTAAAAATAACAGTTGTTAGTAGGAGCCATCCATTTCACAAAAATAAGAGTTAGCCGCTGTATTTTGCTGAGAAGCAGAATCAAGAAGCTCAATCGTCACTAGAGAGGGAAGGATAAAATAAATAACGGAGTGGAAAAATCAAAGACTGAGAGAGTCGAGATGAAAAAAGAGGCCAAAGACAAACTGGGAGGTTGTGAATCTCAACATGGATCATAACAAAAGAGAATGCCGGGAACTATATTATCTTAAACAGGGGAGGGTTCACAGTAAACCGTCTCGTTGCGTCCAAGGCGAATTAAAAAAAAAAAGAAAATCAAAGTTTGCCCCGTTCATTCGCACCAATCTCGCTACTTTTAACCACCTTTCTCTGAAATCTGTCGATAACAAACGCTTTCTATCAGTCCTGATCTTCATCTTGAGCATATGCCCGAAGAATCTAACCAGATAGTGATGAGAATAGGCTTCGTATCGCAAGATTCCATCTATTCGCGACGTTCACACACCATTCTTGCCTCGGCTAGCAACGTTAGAAACACCCACCCGTTTCACCCCCTCCCCCCGAGAACGATGGACACAAGATGTTCGGAATCAATATGTGACGTCAACCCGCCGTTCCAGAACGGAGGCGCACCTACGGACTATGGTAGAAGACGTGCGAAGCCGTTTCCCTTAGACCAAAGTCATACCAATGGCATTCGGGCAAATCCGCCCAACCCCGCCCGCTCTGAAGGCTACGTCATTGAGAGACACGTTCCGAATCAGTCGTCAGGTAAACGAAAACTCGGGGCTGTTGAGGCAATCCGTTGTTGACGCCCAATACTAGAAGGAGCGCAACTCGATCGCCGACAAGCCGAGCCGCCCACAAAGAGGATACTTCGCGACCCGCTCCACTAATTCATAACACAATAGTCTTCTAGGCCGTGATAGGTCACTGGACTGAAGAATGATCTTCAATCGCGGCTGATTACGGGCCTTCCGATGGCTCTCTGCTCTAGGAGTGGGAGGATTGATGGTAAGGCTAGGGAATGCGTCTCTAACACTCTCCTCCAAGATTGAGTCCTCTGTCAACGTGTGGCAGAGGAAAACCAACCTCGATGCATGCCGATGGCTCATCAAGTGCGGCATTCCCAGCCATCCCGCCTTACCATGACACGGACATTGGGCAATTACATCTCTGCAAACCTAATGCTTGCGACACCCTACAAGAGGAAGGAGGGCAAAACCTCGAGCGCCATTACGGATCTTTCAGAGAGTCAGCACAGACAATCGATAAAGGATGAGAGGAAAGATGTACGAAGCGCATACCCCAGCCATACCCTTTATGGACACCGCCGTCAGACCCAAGTCTGGAATCGCCGCTCCGACCTTAGCCTGCACCAGTTCTTCTTCAGATGGAACCCGGGCCCGAACCGCGCTCGAAGCATGCGGATGGGTCCATCAGTCCAACAAAAGGGCCTCAGAATCGCGATCCACTTCCAAGCACCTAACCACAAGCCAGAAGACTGTCAAAATCGGGACAAAGATGTGCGACAGCCTCGAGTACAATTCGTAGAACAGCCCATCAAGTCCCAGAGACTTGCCACTACCGACTCTCTTCAAGGCCAAGTAAACTTCGTTCTCACCATCGCAGCTAGCCGATTCAGTCGGCACGAGCCGAGGAAATCAGCGAAATAGCTGCGAAACTATTTGCAGCAGGGGCCAGGATCCTTGGTAAACCGGTTCTCGAAATGACGCCGAAACAACTCGTACATATCTTTGGTGGAACTCACAGTTTGCCCCTCCGGGGTATCGACCTCTCCAATGTATTTATGCGCCCATATTCACAGCTTCGTTAGACATATAGTTTAATCTATGTTTGAATCCGGTAGCGCTCGCTAGCCCGACGCTCCAGAACCTGTCTAGCTGAATTTATCTCTGGGGATTCCCTCAGCCTCCGCCCGGGACAGACTATCCTTGAGAGTCTTCACCTTTTTAGACTTACATTAAGCGAGTCGTTGATTACATTCGATTCTGAAATACCTAATGCTATCCTTAGGCATATCCCACCACTTATTCTCAATAACCGCCCCCACTAGTTCTCGCTACACTAATCTAGTCAGCCGTTACCGGAAGTCCCGCCTGTACAGTAAAAAAGATTTAACTTCCAGTGTCCAGCCATTCTAGACCTAGCATTTAACGCCATCCGAGCACAGACAAGTCTATGTTCCGAATAACCTAATATGTGGAACGTGGGACAAAACCAAAAAGGAATGACTGCAAAACACTTTCCTTTTCATGTGCCTCAGTCCCGATTTGTCTTGTCTTGAAGTCACAACGCTACGTTTGTTTGTCCAAACTTGCTTTTGGGTCGACCTCAATTCTTAGTTTGTGATCTTTTTGCCATATTACTCTTGCTTTGACTTATTACTGTTAATTTGCATTGCATATATTGTTTGCTTGCTTTAGATTATTTTGGGGCCCTGTTCTTTTTCTTGCTATTGCTTATTGCAAACCTTGTCAAATCTGTTTGTTGGACAATTCTGGTACTTATTTTGCATTTTCCCATGGCTACTCACTCCACAGTTTTCAACTGGCCTTTAGAAAATAAATTAATCTTATAAATATAACTCACCATTAAATGGTTAATTGATTTATGTTTTTTTACGGATTGCCAACCTTTTGTGAGTTATTTAAAGCCAAAAAAACTTTTCCGGTTGTAGGAGGTTGCTTACAGTACCCGATGTTCCCAAGCAGCCCCCTATCTAAATAATGACCGAACTCAACGTTGCTTAACTCCAGTGATCGAACT